TGTGTGTGTGTGTGTGTGTGTGTGTGTGTGTGTGTGTGTGTGTGTGTTTGTGACTGTCCGGTGTGTTTCCACCAGGGAGTGGAGCTCAGCCGACCCCACCATCTGCAGGTCTTGCTACAGGTCGGCTCCACCGCTGAGGCTGCCACATGGCTGACTGGCCTGGAAAAACTCTGGTTTCCTCTGTTTCCTCCTTTCTGTCTCCTCTTCCTTCACCCTCTCCTTCTCATTATTGCGTCCTCATATCTCTATTATTTCACTTTCCCTCCCTCTCTCCCTCCCTCTGGTGTCTGATGTTTGTTTGTGGCCTGTGGTGTGTTCAGTCAGAATTACCATCAAACTGAGAAGAAGGGTCGCTGAGGGATGCGGATAAGCTTTAACATGCTGAGTAAGAACATGCAGCACTCAGAACAGCACATTGCTGCTAATTTGGTACCGCTGTTAATTTATCCTCCACCTACATGCGCACAAAACATACACTACTCTCCCGCTTCCTGTCATGGAGCGTCACTCTGTTTTCAGTCAAAATTGTGCGTCAGGGATTTTTCTGGGAATGACGAGCCTGTTGTTAATGAGTAAAGATGAGGGCTTCGCCAAACCTTTGTGAGTGTGTATTGTGTATACAGTAGATGTGTGTGTGAGAGTGACTGTGTGGGAGTGTTCTGGCTTGATGGCGGCTCTTGGCAGAGCAATGCTCTCTTCTCCCTGGTCGCTAACATCAGGGGACTAGCCAGGCATGTAATGGAAACTTTGGAGATTTAGAAGAGCAGCTTGCTAAATACGAGCCCCTGATGTACTGCCTTAGATGGCTCCTATCGTACGATCATTACTAAAACAGGTCATCATGATAAATTAAAAGATTTTACGAGAGTATGAAACATGCTGTGGTTGCTCTTAAAACAGGAGAATGAGCAGAAGATTTTACGACGTATGCACCTGTTTTGTATTTTGGTGAGACCAAACAGGGGAATGCTGATTGTAGCCGGAGGTAAAAGCCCCGTGTTGGTTTAAGGTCTTTGGATGAAGCCGCATCATTACGCAAACATTGAACGCAGGCTAAGGCCGAATGAAAACGTTTGTTTATCGTCTCAGACTGAGGGGTTAAGTTCCGGACAATAGATAAAAAGCAGATGCAGAATGTGGAGCCTCCTCAGTTTTAATGGTGTCTGACCGCTGCAGGTTGTTTTGAGCAGATGTGTTGTAGCAACAGAGAACTTGTTGCCGATCCTCTCACTGTGTCTGTGTGATCACTTGCATTTATGTTTCTGTGTGTCCATGGAAAATATCTCTGCCTTTGCCGAGAACCCAAGAGGTGATGCATGCACTCAGCTCGGTCCACATCTGCAGAGTAGAACTAGCCTGGCAAACGTCTACCTGAAGAGCAAAAGACTGATTAAAAACCTGCTGCCTGCGTAGCGTCTAGTTAAAAAAACACACATATACTGCACACACACTTGTGAGCCATCTCCCCCTATGGTTTCACTTCTCTTCAAATCTTCCCTTCATTCACAACTACGTCCATACTCGCACTCGGGGCGTGTGCTCCTGTGTAATTCATCTGTGCTGCAGATTCATTTTTCAGAGCAGCTCTGCCGCTGTCAGTAAGAGGAGTGGGGGGGGGGGGCTGCAGTCATCTGGGTCCTGGGAAGGCTTGCCAGCCAGGACAGGTGGCGTTTTGTCTGGAGTCTGCCCAGGGAGCGAGGGAACAGCAAGAGGGAAGGAGGCAGAGAGGAGAAGAAGGAGGAACCAGGACTTACAAGATTTGGATTTAAAAATAATTGTTTAATTCTGTGATTCAGTACTTGATCCTTTGTAATTGTTTTATTTTTTTTAAATGTGGAAAGAATAGTAAAACCCTAATCCTGCTGACTAAATCTGGCTTTGAATTACAAAAAAAGACCCATACCTGGAAGAGGCAAATTGCTTCCTTGAATAGATGAATAAGGGTTAATGAAAAGCATGTATGGAGCAGCGGATACATTTTGTGGATGTCTGTAAAGTGCCACTGGAAATCAAAACTCAATAGTTGAAATGTTTTTTCCTGTCATGAAACGTTTGATTTTCTGTGTCCAAGCGAGGCCAGTGGTTTGGCTCTTCGAAGTGTATTTACTCCCCTCTCTGAGAGGCAGTTGGACTGGGTTGTTATTAAGAGTGCTTCATCTGGCTTTGTGATTACAGCTCTGACCAAGCTGACACAATGCAACAGCATGCAAATGCTGTACTGTGATTCTACACACACACACACGCACACACACACACACCACACGCACACACACCACACCACACACATGAACACATGCACACACATATACTGTCAGCGTCGCTCCGCAATTTGTCACACGGTGCTGCGCCATTAGAAATTTACACCTCACACTTGACACAGCCCCTGCACCCCAACAGACACACACACACACACACACACACACACAGACGCACACACACTCTTTACACTCACACGAAAACACTTCCTCCTTTCCTGTTTTTTTTTTTTGCTGTTGAAAAATGAGAACCCAGCAGGGAGTGAAGTGTGAAGGTGGAGGGGTAGGAGGGTTGGGGGTGGAGCATCTGGAATAACACTCACTCGTCTCTCATATCGCTGCTTCCCCCCTGATCTCTTCCAAACACACAAACACACACACACGTACACACTGTCATGTCACATACTCGCTATCACCACCACCGCTTCTGCTCCAGCCCTACTTCTCTTTCCGATGAGATCAGTGTGAGTCGTGGTCTTGAAGTAGACCCCATCTGGTGTGTGTGTATGTGTGTGGGTGTGTGTGTGTGTGTGTCTGTCCGTGTGGCAGAGCTGGTGCCACCCTGGCTGGGACATTTGTAGTTTGGGGAGGGGGTTGCTGGCTGCTGTCCACCAGTGATCTACTGTACTGTACATCGCCACTCGCTCTACACACACACACACACACACACACGGACGGAGGACTCGGCCTCACAAAGACAAACTGCTGTCGGTACTTTCGGCTTTTTAAAGTCAAAGGTCATGGTAATTCCTGCAGATTCGCTGTTGATGGATTCTTTGTTTGTTCATTATCATGTTACGTTTTGGTGGTAAAGCATTTGTGCTTCCCATGGGGATCAGGACCTCACAAATAGTCCTGAAATAAATGTAAGGGGTCACAAGATGATAAAAGTAAGAACAAAAAAAACTTTGGTTATACATACAGCTGTACAATTCTATAAATCAATCAACCTGAGAGGAAAGAAATACTATTTCATTGAACTGCTCACAACTCCTATCAAAGTTTTTATAAACAAAGTGTACATATTTTTGCTCTTTCTTTTCCTTTTTTAAACAAGTCAAATTCATTTTTCCTACTTTGCATCTATATCTCAATCAGATATATAGGCATACACATGTTGCAATCGAATGTGTGAAAACTAGTTTGCAAGCGAGCACTGAAGTCTAAACTGTGTGTTAAAAGTACCAGTGCTGTATTCCCTGTATTGTGCGATCTTAACAGCAGTGTAAAGTGTTCATTAGAGGTTACACGTCTTTAATCATTTCTACCATAAACACACTGGCTATACTTTTGTCGAGGCAGCAGCTTAACTTGAAAGTCATTTTTCCCAGTTTCCCTACACCAATATTTATTACTTTTTTGGCACTCTGGGGCTAAAACGGCTATTAAGTCATGTGGCGCTTACACGACTTCTCATTTCAAAGAAAAAGCGAGGAAGAATGAAACTGTGACTTTGGCGTATTTAGTCATTAAGCAGGCTTCATGTAGTCGGACGCCTCACGGTGGAGAAATTAGCCTTAAATCTGCTGCTTGTTTGAAAAAAAGACCTGGTTGGAGGCTGGTTTGGATTACCGTCTGTCAATCAGCAGCGTGTGTACCGCGTTCTGTGTGTGTTTGCATGTGTGAAGAGGGTAGACAGTTGAAGTCTCTGCAGGCTACGTTCAGACTGTATCAATATGATTGACAGCGTTAATGGTGTGATAATTCCACACGTCAGGCAACCGAGAAGCTTCATTTCACAGAGCGGTTTTGGATAATCACTCTGAAAAATAAACTCTTTTTCCTCTATTCACTCCATCATTTTGCCTTTATTCTATTCACTTTCACCCCTCCTGCATATTAAGCTCCCGCTCTCTTTATTTCTCTCTTCTCCTGCAGGATGAATGCCGTAATTTCATGAAGGTGCTGCTCAGCAGACAAGGAGGCCTGTTTGTGTGTGGGACCAACGCCTTCAACCCGCTATGTGCCAACTATACTGTAAGTACGTCATAATGATTGGTCTGACATCACTGATAAATGCCTTAATCTTCCTGAACAGAGGCCTCGCTTCCGAAACACAATCAGTACGCCTGTTCAGGTGAAAATTTACAGCTTGATTAGAGCTGTTTGTTCAGCTACCGAGGCGGTGTTGACTTCCTCCCCAGGACTTATTTATCCCGGTTGTCTGGCAGTTCCAGCGCCTTGGTTCCCTGAGATACAACAATTGTTATTTGTCGGCGGTTTAGCTCTGCGGTCTGCCGAGCTTGTTACCGTTGAGAGTCTGAGACGGATAATCAAGAAGAACACAAGGAGAAGGAGGTTAGAGGAGGAAGAGGAGGGTGGAGAGACTTCTTTGCCTGGTTCCATTTCTTTTGCTAGTGGTTAAGAAGGCAAAGCAGTCTCCCCCCCCCCCACACACACACACACAGTTGGAAGCAAAGCTTTAGAGACACCAGGGTTGAAGCTATAAATGTAAGCGTATGACTGACGTGATTCAACCAATTAGTCCTCTGAACGTTTCCTCCACTCCAAAACATATCGGTCACAGTCTGAAGGTTTGTATCCATTCAGCTCACCTGAATTCTCCGCCATGCAGCCAAATGCTCTCCACTTCCAGAACCCCTTCCCTGTCTCTCTCCAGTACAGTAACGATTTCAAACTTGTGGAAGGAAAAACTACACATGAATATTAATCATCGATTCGGCTGATTTCACTTCAATCTGCAAGAATATTAAATGAGCGATGCAGGCAGTTGAGTTGAAAAAAAGAGATTTAGAGGTAAGAGAGAGAGAGAGAGGATGAAAAATATCCCTCCTCCATCAAAGGCTTCTTCAGATAAGTGTTATTTTCAGTCGCTCACGTTTCAAACATGGGACACTGAGATGTACCTGGCCCATTATCTGTCAGCCGCTAATCACATTCTACAACAGTGCATAACACACCTGTCTCTCCATGATAGGCTGTCTGTTTCTCTGGGGACTAGTTAGCGATGCTAGCTACTGTTTTATTTATAGCTGGATTTTAATGAAATGACACCTTTTCAGCCGTGGATGAGAATTAGACTGTGCTGTTGAAATTGTTTGCGTCTGGCTACCTTTTAAGTGTATGCGTTTGTAAATGTGTATGTGTTTATAGAGAGAGACAGATGCAAAAGAGAGATTTCACAGTGTATTTATGTATAATTTTATGTGTATTTTATTTATGCATGAGAATGTGACTCTTGTTGTTGCTGCTTTCGATAATTGGCACCAGTGAATCATTAGTTTGCACTTACGGTAACACTCCCTAATTGTCATTCTCTTTGTGGCTTGTTTTCATAATGCTGCTGGAGATGCATTCATATTGTTTGCTGATTGATGCGCCCATCTGTGTGTGTGTGTGTGTGTGTGTCTATATGTGTGTGTGTGCTGTAACAGGGAGACACTCTGGAGATGGTCGGAGACACGGTCAGTGGTATGGCGAGATGCCCCTATGACCCCAAACACGCAAATGTAGCTCGGTTTGCAGGTAAGACCCTCCTTTTGTTTTTGTCGTTACTTCCTCACCTGCACGTGTGGATCAATATCATTGTTGAATGTCATTGACTAGCTCAACAGAATGGAGCAGTTTTTCAGTTTTACTCATCAGTTGTGTTTACTCCATCAGATTTAAACACTCCGCTATAATATAATCAACAGTGCTCTGTGGCTGAAACTGTAGGGAGCCATTACTGCTCAGCCATCACGCCATTATCTGATATTAGCACAAAGTAAAAATGTGGTTTCTCTGGCGTGGGAGGGCTGCTAAGTTGCAATTATGCTGCTGCAATTATACTGTTGACTGGTCAGTCATGTTATGTTTATGATGCTGGAGGACTTTCATAAAAAAGCAACCTTCGCGCCAGCTTCATTGTTTGTGGTTATGCTGTTGCTTTGGCAGGCTGTCCTACTCACTAGTGTTTCTGTGTGTGTGTGTTTGTGTGTGTTTGTCAGAGGGAAATCTGTTTACAGCCACAGTGACAGACTTCCTGGCCATCGATGCGGTGATCTACCGTAGCCTTGGGGACAGTCTCGCACTGCGCACCGTCAAGCACGACTCCAAGTGGTTCAGAGGTACCTACAGACAGTGTGTGCGTCAGGCGCCGGTGTTTTCAGTGTGTGTCCTCATCACTTAGCAGCACGCCCGGATCGATACATGTGTCAGTAGCAGAGGGCTGAGTCAGCAGCACTCTGACAACTCCATGTTCGGGCCACTGGCCACGAAGCTGCCAAACGTACTGCTCCTTGACAGAAAATCCACATCATGGTCAAACCCAACCATGACAATGGGACGGGAAAAGAAGACAGGACATCAGACACACAGGTTGTTGCCGGTCCCGGGTGTAATAGCGCCGAAATGCAAAGCGTGAAACCGAGTTCTCAGAAACATCAGGGAGTCATAATGCGCTTATTGTTTGGTGTGAAATCCCCTTTCACCATGTAATGAAATTAAGCGTGGCCTGTGCCTCTTTCTCACTGCCCTCATGTTACCTCTGTGTCGTGGGAGTGAATGATGCATTTGCAAATGGAGACACTGTTTGCTGTATGCTTTCTCAAGGTCCATCTATATTTCATCAGACATTTTTCCCTTTCTCTCCCTCTCACAATGTAGAGCCGTATTTCGTCAGCGCTGTGGAGTGGGGACCTCACATCTACTTCTTCTTCAGAGAGATAGCCATGGAGTTCAATTACCTGGAGAAGGTATAGAAGTCATTCTGATGAAAACACGTCCTCCTTCCCCTCTGAACTCTCAGTATTTACACGGAGGAGCCGCTTGTCCATTCACAGCATCGTTTGAATGGACTGTAGAGGATGTGTGATTAAAATGCAACACCATGAAAGCAAATGCCGCTCTAATATCTCTCTGCTGCTATTATTTGAATGTCCCACCGCTACGCTGACCTTTCCTTCTTGTATTTGTTTGTCTGCATATCTAATCCAACAAATCACAGTCTGAGTAAACAATTCATGTCTCTGTTAACCTGAGAAAAGCCTTTTTTTGGATATATTTTCTGCCCTTACCAGAGCTGGGGATACATCTTTATGAAAAATATCAGCATCAGGATCTTTTCTAAGGAATTAGCAATTCACATTTGGGGAGAAGTGCTTGCACAAGGTCTCCATCTTTGACATGTTTACAGAGAGCAGAGTAAATGGTTACTTATACAGCATCACCGTTGTGTGGATGAGGGTGTTCAAAGAAGCAATTTTAAGATGTGCATGACATTTCTATGAATAATTTATGTTAGATTTACCTTTATAAAACAATGATCTGACTAAACAGGGTTTCCGTATTGCAAATAGCATGCAAATGACTCTGTAGAGATCAACCTGATGTTGAAAAGACCTTTTAAATAATGAAACCCAAAGCTTGCTCCCCAGCTAGTCATTGTTAGATCGTTATATGTGAGCTTTAAGATGCACCTGTCAGCATGTTGCAAAAGTATTGTGTCATTTTCTATGCCCACACCTGCTTCTCTCTGTGCCTGACCACTCACAGGCGGTGGTGTCACGTGTGGCGCGGGTGTGCAAACGCGATCTAGGTGGGTCTCAGCGCGTCCTGGAGAAGCAGTGGACGTCGTTCCTGAAGGCCCGTCTGAACTGCTCCGTTCCCGGTGATTCCCACTTCTACTTTAACCTGCTCCACTCCACCAGCCCCATCATCAGGATGCACGGCAGGGACATTATCCTGGGGGTGTTCTCCACACCGGCAAACAGGTACAACACACGCATGCTAACATATATACTTGTAAGCAAGCTAAGGAGCACACAAATATGACTTTCTCACTCTCTCAAAAATGTGCACACATGGACAGACATTCAAAATCAGAATCAGTGGTTCCCAACTTTTCTGTCAGTTGTTCTCCAAAACCCTGAACACCGCCATCTTTTTTTAACTGTTTACCCGTTACTTTCAGCTAACTATTTGAACAGTTAATCCATTACGTTCAGCTATATTTTACCATTTGTCCATGACTGAAGCTGTTTCAACTGTAAGCTAACTATTTTTAACCATTCATTCATTATTTTTAGCTAACTAACTTAACTTTCAGTCCATTACTTTTAGCCAACTATTTGAATCGATCTATTTTAGCTGTTTATCCATTCATTTTAGCAAAATATTTAAACATCAAATTTATTACTTTTAGCTATCGAGTCCAGTTATATTTAAGAGAAGGCAGACATCTCTACAGCTGGTATCTCCAAAACTAGCCAACTCATACCAAAATAATCTAGATTGATAAATAGCACCACAGGTAAGAGGAAAAATTTGAAGTTTGGGGTGAACTGTCCCTTTATTATAAGGATATATTTTTGTATTCAAATTGTAATTTCTCTTTTTTCAAATTGCTACTCCTCAGACACTACTATTTATTATTACTCCACAATCTTTCCATGTACCCCAAAGCAAGTGCAGATCCTGGTTGGCAATCCCGACTCCAGATCAATAATCAACCTGTCTGCCTTCAAATAAGCCTTATTTGTGTGTATGTGTGTGTATGTGTGTGTATACGTGTGAGACTTTGAGGGCTAAAGTGGAGGGATTTCATTCCCAATCCTCTCTGGAAAAAGAAAAGAAGATTCAATCAAACCAAGAGTGTTTATTCAAGAAACACACAGCCGTAGAAACACTTCTTGACATCCTTCCCATGGAGATTGAGATAGACACCCAGTGTGAAGCAGCACTCACACGGCTCACCCTGGAAATTTAGTGGACCACCATAGTTTGTTCCTTCACCTATGAAGTCGGAAAGAGCAAGGCCTCCTACGGGCCGAGCAAAGCTCCAGAGAAATGAAAGAAGCTGTGTGGAGGTACATAGGTCAAGATTGTGGGGTACCGAGTAATTTAAGACACGTGTGATGCCTTCATTGAGGACAAAAGGGTGATTTGTTGAAAGACAAGATTAAATTGAAAAAAGGTGAGAGGAGAGGAGGGATGCTGCGTTGTAAATGGGGGATTACTGAAGACTGTGGGTATTTGCACAGCCAAAGACAACACAAACGGCAAACCAGAGAGACTGAACAACAGAGAGAAGGAAGGAGTGTGCAAAAATATTGATGCGAGCTGCACATACAGGATAACTCGGATGCTTTTGATGCATTAGATTAGAGAAGCACTAATGCTCTGAAGTGAGTGTTGAGTCTTAAATTTTCTTTCAGTGGGATGAGATAATTCGTCTTGCTGCAAGTGCAAATAACCAAAACAGTTGCCCTTGATTCCTATGTCTCGTTTCAGATACAATAGATATAATCTACTTATTGTGCGTCATTGAAATACTGCTTTTTTTTGTTGCTATTTTCCAACATGAGCCAGAAAAACGTGATCTAAATACTAAATGACTTATTAAGAGGAACATTGTAGTGTGTTTGTGGGGACATCCTTCATGTATCCTTTGCATTGCACAGGGATAAACATACTCGGCACACTTTAAAATAAGGCATTGCTACAGCATATTGCAGTCTGTGTGGCTCAAATCATATAACATTATTCAGTATTCACCTTAAACTGTCTGATGGCCGTGGTAGCTTCTTGTGTCGGGTAGTGCAAGACATTGAAGCAAACGTATAGAAATACTTGTCTGCTATTTGACTCTGGTCTGGAATCAATACAGTGTCTCACTTAAACTCAGCCAGCAGCATAGCAATCATCTGACAGTGGTCCCAGTATAATACCCTCTCTATTATTTTAAGAATAAAGTGCTATACCAGTTGCAGGACAGTGTCTCAAAGCAGTGGGCTCCCGGTAAGAGACTGGAGAGAAAGAGGGGAGGAGAAAAAAAGAGATGAAAAGAGAATACAGAGAGGAGAATTAAGAGGGAAGCGGCAAACAAGAAGGGGGAGAGATGGATGTGGAACTCAAGGACGAGGAAGTCAATAATGGACAACACGTGCATCCCTCGCTCTCCCTGAGATCTAAAACTGTTTCATCAGCTGCATCTTATCTGCGCATTTGGAAGGACTACGCTGCGAGACAGAGCCACTGCCCGCAGAGACAGATGGATGCTTCACTCACACACTCCCACTCTCATACACAAACACACACGTGCACAAACACACTTACAATGGTTCCCAGATAACAGCATTTGCGGCATGCCACCGAGGAGAACCAGCTGAACACACATACACACACACCCCTGCTCGGGTAAACTGCCACGGAGTCCTATTTTAAATAACTGCCAGCCACGAGAGCGAGAGAAAGGTTTAGATGGATGGATAAGGAGACGCGTGATGGAGGAAAATAATCACAAAGAGAATGAGAGAATGTGTGAGGTGAGCTGCAAAACTCTCACTGGCCCCGTGTGGCCCACTGCGGCACACTGGCTTAGTGCTCGCCAGACAAATTGCTCTGGCTGGCTGCTTGCAGTGAAAACAGCATGAAGCAGGACCTGGGAGTGGAGGAATAGCCATTCTCTCCTGCCATTTGGCCCTGGGCAGCATATATAGGACTGTAGTATAGGAATAACCGGATGAAATCCAAGGTTTAACAGGCCCTCTCGGAGTGTCCCCTGGTCTCTGAAGTTACTCATCTCCCTCTGTGCCCACATACTCCAGGGATAGTTTTACAGCCACATACCAGCTCCTCAAACGTTATGAAGTTGCTTTTGTGGGATCCTTCAGTCTCCACTTCCAGAGTCTAAAATCGCCTCCAGTTGTCAGTTCCTTTGTGCATCCATCTCTGAAGCCCCAGGCCCTTCCTCTCCAAGAGGGATGAAAGAAGAGCTCAGATTTCCTACTAAGCATCTCCTGCACTCACACTCCTGATGCTCGGGAGGTCAAGGAGACGTAGGGACCAACAGCAAACTGGAAAGAGGGAGAATAAAGATATGAGACCATTTGGGAGAAGAAGAGAAAAGAAACTACTTTCTGCTTTATTTAGCAGCTCAAATAAGTGAGAACATGTCGGAAGAGAAGCGGCGAGATGTCAAATGGAAGGCTTACATCATGCTGCACTGGACTGGTACTGAAAAACAAACACTTCTCATTATTTCTTAGCTGTTGTTTTGGCAGTTGAAAATGTCTATTGCTGCTGGAGCAGACTGACGTGGGCTCATTAGGCTTAATGGAGCCATGCAGGAGTGCAAGGAAAACATCCCATGCAAAGTAAAGTAAATCTAGTGCATCCTGAGTGGGGGAGGCCGTGTTTGGTTTTGGCTGTAAAGAATCCCATGTGACTGGGTCAGACAGCAGGATGTCCCTCTGGGAAAAAAACAGCAGTGGAGGAGAAATGAGGAGGACAAGGAGCAGGAGGAGAACAGGTTTACTGTGCCAGGAGAAGTGTGACACTAGGGAGGATGCACAGATATGCAAGCTAGTCTCCCCCCAGGCCTGCACAAGTAGAGAAAGCAGGGGATACATAGCTAGGTATCTAGCTCGAGCTTGAGAAATGGGTCTGGAAAAGGAACACCACGTGTAGTTGACAGCAGAGCCATGTCACAAGGAAAATACAGAATTCCCTCAGGGACCTGATGTGAAAAGGCCAAGGGAAAGTAGGAAAAGGGTTTCTGGTAGAATAAAATAAAGAAAAAGGATGACTGAATAATATTAAAAAATTAAGATGAAGGCAGAAGTTCAAGAGGTGTAAAGAAAAAGTCTCATAATGAAGGCCGAAGTTGAAAGGTTGTAATTTGAAACTTTGTGATACAGTTTTGATCGTAGTTATGAGTCTATATTTATATAAATATGTTTAATTTTATATTAAAATATATACAGTATCTTTGATGCCTCCAAGATGTTTTGACATTTTGGAAATTAATTAATTTGCTTCTGAATACTAATTGTAAGTCTTCAGTGGTTGCCTAGTAATAGCACGACAAGACTTAAACAAATCACTGCTCCCAGCCAAGGAATAGTCTGGCACATAATCCCTTGTAAAACTGCAACTTGTTGTTTCTTTACTCCATTTAAATCCAAGTTCATTAGTGTGATATAAAAGTGCTGGTGGGCAGATTTGTTTTGCATTTGGACCGATTCTGGTTGTTAGCTAGCTTTTTTCTTTTTGTTAGGCTACTAGGCTAGGCTAAGCTAAGCTAAGTGGCTCCTGGCTCCAGCTTTATATTTACAGTTATGAGAATATTCTCATTTAAATCTTGGCAAGAAAACAAATAAGCGTAGATCCCAAAATGTTAAACTATTCCTTTAAAAATGCCAGCGGATTCTTGTTTTACTGAACAAATAAAATACATTTTTGGTTGATTGGATCATTGGTTGATTGGTTCATTCCATCGTGGCAGTCAAACTCTATCTGATTTTGCTGAAAAAAAGGTAAAGAAGTTTATCTGTAACCATTCTGTAGCCATACTAAGTTTGGTTGAAATAAAGTCAAGATATTTAATTAAGTAAACAAGCACAAAAGCCTTGACAACAATACAACTATAACATATACAATGACTTGCTGTAAAACAGATAATCAGTGTGTTGGATTTCTGACCTTTAAATCTATAAATATTTGAACAGAAATGATATAGCCCCCATGTGGCTAATTGATACCCTATTTCACAAGGCCTTTACTTTTTATATTTACGATGAGTGTGCAAAATGTAAAGTCTCTACAATTTATCAGAGTTAAACCCCTAATTACAGCTTTGAGATTAAAACTTCCCTTTCTTCTCCTCTTCCTCGTCTGCCCCTACGAGGCATCATCATGTGTCCGCGAGGACCGAGCGTGTTATTCCAAGCTCTCAGAGAGCTTGTTAAACAGTGAGGAAGTACTTTAGACTCCGCAGCAGTCCTCTCAAATGGACACGCAATGCATCTTCCCTGGACAGCCTGTCGCTCAACCCTAGTGAAGGAGAAAGAGTAAAGGATGAACAAATGCCGATGGAGAGGGAGAGAGGGACAGGCACAGATTTGAAAGTAAACAAAGGAAAGTTGCCTCAAGTGTGCAAGGCGACTGAAAAAATGATGAAAACACATTATGGACTAGATAACGAAAGCAGGAGAGACTGTTCCAGAGTGAAGATGAAAATAATTAAGAAAATTCAGAGAGAAAAACAGCCCAAGGCCTTTTGGCTTCCTTCTGCCGGACACACAGCCCTACACGGGGGCAAACCCAGTGACCTGCAGGGGGTTGGATAAGGTAGAGAAAGGAAGCCAAGCTGGCACCGATGCAGAGCTGGCAGACATGTCACACATAACATCTGGTGCCGGCGGTCATGAGAGAGACACCGTATCGTCCACAGATATGCCTGCAGCTCCGCCACGCTGGCCGGGGTTGAGTCACATCCCTGCCTATGAATGATAAGTACTGAAGGAAACGGCGTGACCTGATCAAATGGCACATCAGGAGAGCACGGCTCCCTGCTGCAACCAAAATCCAGCCTCTGGGTGCTGCCTTCCCAAACAAACCCTTTTGTGGCTTTCAAAGAGGCACTCGACAGAAACACCACTCAGCATCCCGAAGGCTGTGCTGCCCAGACCCTCAAATCACTAGTTGGGCGTTTATTTTTCTTAAGAAAGAAAGAGAATAAGAAGGCCAGGACCAGATGGGTATGTGTGGGATTTTTTTGTAGCAGCAGGTTGCAGGTGACTCAGTCTCCCAGGTTGTTTCAGTACGTGTGTATCGCTAAGGTATTAGCACTTAGTCACTAGCTCTCACACCACGCACACCATTAGTCATCGAGGAGGACACATTCAGAGCAGAGTTGAGTGCATGAAGCACGGGATGTTTTTTAAAACTCATTCCTTATCTCATCCTGACACTGCTCTCTTTATTTCTCTGTCTCTGTGGTGCTTTCTCCAGCCAAAGCATGAAAAAGTAACATCAAGCTCGAAGAAGAGATAGTGTAACTTTGTGTGTGTGTGTGTGTGTGTGTGTGTGTGTGTGTGTGTGTGTGTGTGTGAGAGCTATGGACACTTCTTGGAACAGATGTTCTGTTCCCTGTTGCTGAGTTCACGAGTAGTTAAACAGCCTCAGAGGTGCACCGGGCTTTTTACTGGGATGTGTTGTTAGGTTTACAAGAACCCCCCCCCCCCACCACACACACACACACACACACACACACACACA